CCTGAGAGCGAAACGTGAATAAAACACATGCAGTCTAATATTTTGAAAAGTTTCCGTTGCTTGGTTAACTTAACCGATTGTTTGCTTTGAATAGATGTCTTATTTTTTTTATTGAAATACCGCAAATAAGCACACACAAAAACTAGATGGTTGTTTGCACTACCAAAAATTCTTGTAGGATCATGATTATAAACAGGTTGTATGCCAGATTTCAACAACTGAACGGATACTTAAGTCATTTTAAAGGTAGACATGACTTCTGGGACGGAAAATAGCACGTTTTGTGGTAACAACAATACCACTTCCCCCCCCCCCCCCCCCAACCCCCCCCCCCCAACAAAAAAAAAAAAAAACTACGATAATAGTTCATAAAGTTAAAGTCAATTTCAAGTCGGGCGGAGTGACGTCACTGCACTGCGTTTTATTGCATACTGCGCGGTCTCTCTCTCTCTTTCTCTCTCTCTCTCTCTCTCTCTCTCTCTCTCTCTCTCTCTCTCTCTCGCTCTAGCCGCCCATTAAGAGCTTCGCACAAAGCACAAACTGTGTAACTCCGGCTTCGATCCTCATGGATCGCCGTAACGGTTGATTCAGTGTATTCATTATTACTCTGTGCAGGCAACACTCGGCAGGTTTTGCTTGTTTTGACTAAGAAAATAATTTGCCGTCAAAGGAAATTGAACCCTCTGCGTTCTTGTGTATAGTAACCGGTTGGCTTTCCCTTCGCACTTGGACAGCTGTAAAACTAAATGCGCATCTCATCGATAAAGCTCACTCCCCGTGTGGGCTCCAGGGCCCCATTGTGGGAGAAAACAAGAAAAGACTCACTGTCTCCACAACAAGCATGTCGTCTTAGGCGTCGACCTACAGAGGGCGCAGCCCTTGTCAAGCGGGAGGCCTGATACGGTTGTGAGGTTAAGCAGGCATGTGCAGGACGTGACGATTCCTTGGGTGAGCCCAGAACCAGAGCGCCATGTGCCGGCTCTGCATACATGGAAGCCTCCTTGGATTGCGGGGAATGCCCATGATCTGCCCCTGCCTTTCATTGAGGGCCAACCGTTCTGCAGGGGGCTGCCCTAAAGGGGTACTCCGGGGGCAACACCTGCGGAGAAGGAGACAAAGTGGACACCACACAAATCAGGCAACGTCTTGACCCACACAAAACAATGGCGACAGTCATCCTAGAAATAGGCCTGACGTCTTCCTTCGAAGTCGGAGTACAGAACGGTTGTACACGCAAAACTCAGGTCCAGGTAAAAGCCAAAAGTCCAAGCGGACGATTAACCGGGACCTTCCGCCGGAATTCACAGCCGGTGAACGAAGAAGAAGGAGGAGGAGAAGAAGGCGTCGACCAATTGGGAGCTTCCTTTGAAGTCGGAGTGCATCTGCATGTGCGGTAAAGAACAACCAACTGCACACAGAGGAGCAAGTAAAACGGATGTTCCCGCAAAACTCAGGCCTTGGCAGAAAGCGAGAGTCCAGATTGGCAAACAGTCAGGACTTTCCACCGGAGCTTATACTGCCGGGGAACAAAGAAGAATGTAGCTCACAGTCTACATTGTTTGTCCAGTCGTGGGAACAACTATCTGTGCTTCAGTTCGAGACAGTTGTATGGAACATGAACACGTGCCAGCGTGTTTGTTCATACAGAAGTTCTTTGTCTAGCGAAATCCCAGGGTCACACAAATATGGTGACCAAACACGAGCTTCTATGTAGTTTGTTGGTTGTTTAATGAACTCTCTATAGAAATAAGAATCGTATGAACTTACCCCCCCCCCCCCCCCCCCCCCCCACAATCCCTCCAACCTTACAACACGCGGCTATTCCGACCTAGACAATAAGACAAATTATAAATACAATCTTTATTCCAACTTAAGTTACCAGTGTCAGACTTGGACATTAACTAAAGTACACGAGTGTGAAATGAGATGTTTAAGAGCAAAACCTGAAGAGATCATTGTGAGAAATGAAGAGATTAGAAAAACTACTGGAACAACGCCCAGAGGGAGACCTGAAAAGAAGAAGATGGAGTAAAAGAGTTGCTGACAGTCTAAGACTTTATAGGATCCGAGGGCGCCCTAGCTCGGCTACCCAACTTCTATTAAAGTGCGGGCAGCACAAAGAAGATTATGGACCAACAGAAAGAATCAATTGTCAAAGACATATATGCTGCCAACAACCCAGTACTGACTAGGCTGGGGGATAATGAAAATTCTTTGACGCTAATATGATTACGTAACCTGGGAGTAAAGCCTGGTAAAGCACATTTATGCCTTCTTTGAAGTCAGTATCATCAGCATCAATTGCCTTGCCAGCTGACGTGGGTGTTCATACATCGCCACAGATCTCGTCTTTGGTGTTCTGGATCAATTCTGCTGATGATATTCCTCCATGCCACTGTCTTAAATCATCCATCATTATTTCTCTTGGTCTGCTTCTGCCTCTCCTAACAGTGATCTTTCCAGTCATCACAATATTTTCCAGTACTCCTTTTCTCATTACATGACCAAAGAACTTTGTCTCCTTCTCATTGTTGTATATAATGTTCTACTTTCATAGGCCATTTCCAGGCATTCAGTGTTGGTTATTCTGGCAGTCCGAGGTCTTCTCAACATTCTTCTCAAGAACCAAATCTCAGTTGCCTCCAAACTCTTCCTAATTTTTTGCTCACATTCCAAGATTCACTACCATACAAGAGAACAGGAGGTCAGTGTAGATGTTATAACCTACTGCTCATGGAAACAATCAGTAGAGGTACTTTGGGGTGGGTGCTGCATTGGAGGACCCATTGTGCAGTAATGTCTATTATCATAACATAGCATAACATAAACATGTTGTGCAGAAGTGTAATCCTTAGCCAAACAAATTAGAAGTATTACACAAATGGTGCAAAAATGTGTGTTCATGTGACTGTTTATTTTACATAATGAGGACACAAAAAATATGTTGCACAATTTATTGCCTGGCAAATTTCTACAAGAAAAATTAGATTTCCATCAGTGCTTTATATGATGTAACAAGAGGCAATGTTATTTATACATTTCAGTTGATTCATTTTTGATGCTTCCTTATGTTGATGTCAGTTATTAAGCAGGTGATGTCTCCACAGTAAAGTCTGGCTATAAAGGATATCCAACACACTCTGTCTCTTGACTTGATTGCACACCAACAAATTTCGATGTAAACTTTGAAGCAAAGCACTAGACCTGATACAGAAGATCATGTGTTGTTCAATATAATGTTGTGTCTTTGTCCTTGTTATTTAGATTCATTAGAGGAAAACATCATCTTGAATTGTTTATTTGTCTAGTGAATTACCATAGTCAAACTAGTGTGTATCTTTTAACCATTCTTCTGCAGGTCAGCTTGAAGATGCACCAGATAAGTCTGGAATATTCAAACGTTTTTGACCACTAGCTGCAATGTAAGTAAACAGTAGTTAGGAAGATACAAGATCAAAATATGGTCTGTAAAATTTACCTTGGCTTCCATGTAGACTAAAACTATAAAGAGAACCTTTACAATACACGTAGATTAATTTCATGTTACATAAAAATAACAGGAAAACAAATAATTTTTTATTTACAGCATCAAAATAGAACTACAAATAAGCTATGAGCAAACAAATGTATTAAAGATTCTAACAATGGATCATGTAGATATCATGCTAGAGAACAAACAAGTAAAAGTAATGGATCATTTCATCTGTTTGGGAAGCAGTTTTGACTCTCAAGGAGATACAATGAAGGAAATTATGATTTGCATTGGCATAGCAACAACAGTCTTTAAAAACCTGAATAAATATGCAGCTTCAAGTTATACAGTTTCAAGACCAAACTAGGAATCTTCATTTCTAGTGTTATTTTAATTCTAACATACGCCAGTGAAAACTGGAGAACTACCATGTATGTGGAACAAAGGTTAAGTGCTAAGTGCATTTGAAAATAAATGTCAGAGAAAATTCATGAACATAAAATGGGAAGAATTTTTAAAAAGTCAGATCAGAGAAATGTCTGGACAAATATCTGTGTCGACTGCAATAAGACAAAGAAGGTGGGAATGCCTATTAGGCACACTCTGAGACAAAATGAGCAAAGAATTGCAAAACAAGTGCTAAAATGGGAAACAAACGGGCTGAGAAAGAGAGGACGTCCAAGGAAAACATTCAGAAGAACATTATCATGAGAAGCTAATAATGCTAGGCTGTCTTTCATGTCAGAAATCCAGAGTTGCATGCAATAGATCGGAGTGGAGGGATCAAGTGTGAGCCCTATGTAATTTTAAATCGCATACAAAGGACGATGATGATGATATTAATTCCAGATGTCTTCGCTGTTTTTTGTTGTTGTTTAAGGCATTGAAGAGAACTGTTGCAAATATTTGATAAGTCAGCCAGGTGAATGTTGTAGCTGCAGTGAATCTTCAACAGACTGTATCTTTTGCCCTGTATGTACACTCTCTCAGACTGCTGTTGATCCATAGTTTGATTTTACCCTACTGCTCATGTCTCTGTCTGCCTCTTGTTTACTTGCCTCCAACCTTCCCCTCACTTTTTATAAGAATGTTATGTCTTTTAATATGGCTGAAATATTTCACTCATCTGTTTTTTATTTCCATCAGCAGTTTTTGTTTTGTTTTTTGTTGTCATTAGATTTCTAGTCTCTTTGTATTTCATTAACATGTGTTAAATAATTTATTGGGAGTTGCTGTCGTGTTGGTGGCTGGATGCCCGCCTGCAGAACAGAAGGTTGTGGGGTCACGTCCTGGCGGAGCAGGTCTTTCTTTCAAAAATGACCTTGACTTCCAGGTCATCCCAGCCGTGAGTAGGTACAAGGTGCAGTCCTGGGAAGTAAAGGTGGCCAGTGTGATGCTGACCAAATCAACCACCAAGTGCCGATTGGTCAAAATATAGGTCTAGCCCTATATTCCCAATACACCAAAATGTGTCGAAAAGAGACCTTACTTTTATATTATTTATTCCATCTTTACAGTTGAAGCCATCATGAGAGTGATTGTGTGGAGACGCTCAAAGCTGAGTGGAAACTTTTGGAACATTCTGAAGATTGCACTAGTTACACTGTTGATTGTAACATTTGTGGTGCCACTCAGAAACATCTTCTTTTCTGCTGCTCTACCAGGAATGTGGAAAGAACATAGCACTTTCTTTCTGTTGAAGGTACTTGAATAAGTAATATCATACACTTTCGTAGAATTCTTTAAATAGACAAAAAATAGCAGCCCAGATGTTTTAAAAGAGGCAAGGACTTGAAGACATCTTATCACAAACATCAGAAAGAGACAGTCATAATTTTTTTTCATGTAATAAGAGGAAGGCAGTTGGAACTTGTGACCACTGGTGTGACGTGATGGGTGGTTTAAATGTTTATGTTGTTGAATAGGGATGTTCCTCTCAACCCATTCCCTCCACCAGATTAACCGAACTAAAATCTGAGCTATGTTGCTCTCAGACAAAGTCCTGGATATCCAAGAAAACAGCCATATTGGCTCGTTAAGTACTTTAACATTAGCTGCACTTGGTACCCACAAGAGAAGGCAAGGAATTTTAGATGTCTATCATACTTAATGAATTATTAGACAGGGCAAGTGATTCCTCCGTCATCTACCTTCTCCCGGTGTTATTAATAATAATTAAAGAATATTATATTATTTGAGCCCCACCAAATGGTATTCTATCCTAACAGTTTAATTAAACATGTAAGAACAGACATTTGGAATTTAACAAACTATGTAGTTTAAAACTTGACATACAGCTTTATTTACTACAATGAAATTACCAGTTTGTTGATTTACACAAACAGTGACTGGTTAATGAAAGTGATACGCTTCAGCGAGACAAACAGCTCGGGGTTTAGAGTGGTATGATAATGATGATAAAAGGTTAACATAAAGGGGTTAACTCAACTTATAAGCCTCTGACAGCCGTGAGGAACTGTCAAGCTTGTCCAACTCTTCCTTGCCTGTTGTCTGCCTGTTTCAGCTTATTCTCCACTTCCTCCCCACCTCGTTCTCCACATCGTTCTCCACCTCGTTCTCCACCTCGTTCTCCACCTCGTTCCCAGCTGGCCGAGTCTAACACAATGTAGGCTACTTCATGGACTGATCGTCACATGGGCGCTGTAATCATGGAAACAAAACACATACGTGTAGTATCTTGACTTACACTAAGAATACATGTATCAATTAATACAACATATAATAATAAGATATAGCCCATCACTCCTCCTCATATTCCACATCCTCTCCAGTCTAGTCTGAAGGTCTTTTGTCTTACATGGGCGTCACATATCCTGCCTTCCCTCAAATGCTATGTCATGATAGTTGACTTTCTAAGTCTGTTGTCCGTCATCACTCAGACTTCCAACTGGCTGACATTGATATTACATGACCACGTGGAGCAGGTTATGTGCTGAAAACTCAAACAATTTATATGTGCACTCTGTCCTGAATATTATCTTTCAGTGACAGTAAATACTGTACACCCATCATTCTCCCCCTGGGGTTATAAATCCCCTGTTTAGGTGAACACCTTAAGTGAGCACACGGTGGGCACACAAAACGTAACAGCATCCCTGCACATATGGGCATCATGGAAACAATATAATTACATTTCATTATATCAAATGTCATTGTTCACATCTTATTTTCTACACATGAAAACATACACTGAAAAACATGTGACACAAACATACAAGAAATAGGAATAATTTAGCAGTTCCCTAACTGAGATACTGAATTCTCACAAAGAACTATTTCAAGCAGAATGTGCAGACAAATTAGGAAAAGGTAGTATAGACTAAGCTTAACTCCCTAACCTATGTATACAAGATTAAAATTAATATTTTCTCTCACCTGGGAACTTTTCCATCTATCGCCAAACCAGAGTACGACAGTAAAATATACCTTTACGTCGACCTATGTTTGTTTGCCGGCAGGCTGCGATTAATGACGGGAATTCCACAGGCTCGAAGTATAAGTATCAATCTATTGTCCAAATTAAACTCCTCCCTTTCCTTAGTTTTTACCCAACCCTCAAGATGATGGCTTAAGCTCCGCCTCTGAAGTACCTATCAAATCAAATTGGCTAACCAGTGACCTGTCACTCACAGTGAACGGCCTACAGTACGACCTTGACCAAGATAAAACATTCCTAATTGCCAAACACCTGTTCTCTCCAGAATTACACTGACGTGTTAAACTTTAAACTTCTCGTCGCCTCAATGTCTACAGTCCGCTCAATTCGTGTTAGCTAATCTTTATGACCTACGGTCCAGCTCAGGTGTGATGCTAAGTTCCCCGTTCGCTGGCCTCTACAGTCTGTGGTCAGGAGATAACATTCTGACACTGGCATGAGAATAGCATTCCTAGCTACAGTGTAAAGTTTTAGGTAATATTACCCAAGGTTGGGTCGCTTTGTCTGGACTAAGGACTGGAAACATTTAAATCAATACGGTTTAAAGTAACATTTGGTTCAAAGGCATAGTCTCTTGTCTCTCAATAACCAGAAGAACTTATTACAAGTACTAACTTCTGGAATCACTGAGATCGTATCGTGTTTCACTGTTGATTGTAACATTTGTGGTGCCACTCAGAAACATCTTCTTTTCTGCTGCTCTACCAGGAATGTGGAAAGAACATACCACTTTCTTTCTGTTGAAGGTACTTGAATAAGTAATATCATACACTTTCGTAGAATTCTTTAAACAGACAAAAAATAGCAGCCCAGATGTTTTGAAAGAGGCAAGGACTTGAAGACATCTTATCACAAACATCAGAAAGAGACAGTCATAATTTTTTTTCATGTAATAAGAGGAAGGCAGTTGGAACTTGTGACCACTGGTAAGATCAGTGGATAAAGAAGAAGACATGGCAAGAAGATTATTGACAGCCTTTTATTATGGCATGAAGGGGTGTCAGCACATAAACTGATACACTGCTATGGAAGATCACAGATTATGGAGAGGCATGATATAAAAAGACAAGGCTTTTTATGAAGAGGGTACATTTTCAGTTCTGGAGTAATTTTGTATTGATGTTTTACTTTGTTGTTAAGAAATAGCTGAATCCACACTGAGACAGAATTTTTATAAATGACTTGGGAGCCATGGAAGTGTAGTGGCTAGACACATGCTTGGCAGCCCGAAAGACCTTTTCTGTTTTTCCAGAATTAACCTTGGTTCCCAGGTTGACCCAGGCTTAAGGGGATACCGGGTAACATTCTGAAAAATAAATGTGACCAAACTTGTCACCCACTGAGTGCTGATTAGTCCATACAGATATGAGGGTAGCATCCCATGCTGGTGTAAAAAGGTCCTTTTCTTACTGTTACTTTTCCCCATGTGGGTTCCCGGGCCCCATGATGGGGAAGACAAGAATAGACCCACTGCCCACCCAACTAGAATGTTGTAAGAGTAAACTAATTGGGAGCTTCCTTCGAAGTCAGAGTACATCTGCCTGAGCGGCAAGGAACCAACAATCTGCATACAATTAAGTCAGATCTGTTTTAACGGATGTGCACAGAACACTCAGGTTCTTGAACAAGACTAAAGTCCAGAGGTGGACAAACAACCAGAACTTTCCACCGGAGTTTACAGCTGGCGAACGTGAAGAAGACGAAGAAGACTGTTACTATGTTGTCACATAGACTTTAGTTTTGCTAGCAGATAAAAATGTTTTGACGATACCACTCGAGATTATAAGATGGACCTTCTAAATGGGAGACTAAAACTCTGAGCACTCAGCCATTCAGTCAACTTTACACTCAACACATATGAAATATGTCAGATATACTCAGTGATGTGGAGGAAAACTAATCTCATAAGTTATTTCTGTAGACCCCCGTGTGGGTTCCGGGGCCCCATTGTGGGGAAAACAAGAATAGACCCACTGCCTCCCCAAAAGCATGTCGTAAGAGTCGACTAATTGGGGAGCTTCCTTTGAAGTCGGAGTGCATCTGCCGGAGAGGCAAGGAACCAACAGTGTGTATTCAAGAGAATGAGATCTGTAAAACTGATGCACACGCAACACTCAGCTTCTGGAGCAGGACTGCAGTTCAGTAGTGGATGAGCAACCAGAACCTTCCGCCAGAGTTTACAGCTGGTGAACGCGAAGAAGAAGAAGAAGAAAGAAGATTTCTGTAGAGTAAAAGAAAGAAAGACAGTTTCCCCGTAACATTTTTTGGAGCTTTGTTTCTGTTTTCTTTCATGATATGAATTAGAGAGAGGGATTTGTTTCTTCTGGATTCACGGCAGAAATGAAATGTTTACATACTATGCTAGTAATGAGAAAAGATCGACTTAGAAACGATGATAACAGGAAAAAAGGTGGACAAAACCAATACTGAGCTTTATAGGTAGACAACAAATCAAATGGCTTGGCCATGTAACATGATTGTCATCAAGTAGAGTATCACAAAGAGCAATGTTATACAGATACAGCAGTAACAGAACCAGAGGTCAAGCATGCAGAATATGGACCACATAAATATCAGAGACACTGTAAAGTATTTTATATGAAGCGAACAGAAAGGCCCGTTCCAGAGATCTTTTCCTGCCCTGATGCTGCAAGGCATTCATGAAGTAGAGAAAAGAAGAAGAAGAAGAAGCATTCACCCTTAGAAGAATAGTTGGCATGATGTTATGTGGGTTAACAGCTAGGTTCCAAAACCTGTGCTGAAAGTCACAGACACAAAAGCTAGCTTGGTTGTATAGCATATAATTCCATTGTTAATCTGATGAGTATGCAGTAATTTCATACCAGCTTTTAATTCCATTGCCGTGAAAATTATTCACAGTATACTTGGTCATGTTCGTGTTGAACATAAAATTATAGATGTCACATTGAACTTTTTTCATCTTATTAAACTGTTTGTATATTGTCATCCGCAGGTCGTGTTGGATTACCAGTCTTTACCTGCTGATGGCGGTCACCTAAGTCATAGCTCAGTAATATTTAATATTAACACAAACAAAATGCAAGAGAGGTTCCCTCTTTCTCAACAAAGTTTCCAGGCGTACTATGACAGAGTTGCAGTACTTAGTAAATTGTCCGCTTCAGACAGGGCGGCAAGATTAGAACTTGAGCAGCTGCAACGTTTTAAGCCTGGGATGTCTAAACATGAAAGAGCAATTTCTTTGTTTACTCTGGATGTGTTTGTCAGTGCTTGCGAAGCTGCCAACCTGACATACTTTCTAGTTTCAGGCTCAGCATTGGGGGCCTTGCGCCACCATGGCATAATCCCATGGGATGATGATATTGACATCATGATGAATTCTTCAGAGTGGAAGATGATCACCAAAGTCCTTGGAAATTTGCCAGATTTTGAGCTATACAGGCCAAGAAATGTACAGTGGAAGTTTTTTATGAAGTCTTTACCTGCAGGCAACAAACCATTTAAGTGGCCTAATGTAGACATTTTCTTTTTTAATGAGGATGACACTCACGTTTGGGCTCAAACTATGGGAGCAAAAGCATCACTATGTAGTAAAAAGTCTGATGTGTTTCCACTGGTGAGAAGGAAGTTTGAAATGTGGAACCTCCCTGCACCAAGACGGTTGCACTTTTTAGTCTCAGCTGAGTTTGGTCAGTATCAGTCAGTGTGTAAAACCTCATATTATGACCACAAAAAAAATAGGTTTTCTCCAAAGCATACTTTGGCAACGGTTGATTGTGAAAAGTTGCATAATGTGTTCCCATTTGTATTCCGGGAAACACACAAACAAGGAGTTATTGTTGAAGTCTGTAAGATTGGGGAGAAGGTTCTGAGAAATATTACTGTGCCTTTAGACTTGTGAACCGGTGTATTTGTATGATTGACTTATGTTTTTTCATGTTGTTTTTACCTGAAGCCCAGTTTTCAGACATTGCAACATTGTACTGCATTTTCTTACAAATTTGTATAATAATTTGCCTTATAGGATTTTGTAAAATTATTCCTGCTGAAATCATTCCAAGTGTGCGAGTCACATCATGTACAACTCTGAAAGTCATTTCAAGTGTGCCAATCATATTCTGTATAAAATTACTACCAATATCAGGTTTATATATCAAGAGATTATTGCCATGGTTTTCCGAATGGAATTGATCACTAAGTGATTCAAAAGGGTGACATATACAACATATGGTCTCTACAATACAGCCCAGGCTTTTGTGCTATGGAGAGGTGGATATAATCTCTGGCCTTAATTCCATCACCATGTGCTGCGATTCTCTATAGCACAATATAGAACCATCATCTAGAAAGACGCAAAGGTGCCAGAAAATAAGATTCCACAGGAAAAGTCAGAAATATTGCTACAAGTTTAAGTGTACATGTCTACTCACTTGACAGTATTATAGCTACCATTGGAAAGGCAGTTCTTTAAACTAACATTACAATACTGAGTCACAATTGCTCCACACTGTTTGACCACACAACAACATAATCTACAATGCACAGGCAGTAACCTTATTTCTGTCTGATAAATGCACACTGCAGTAGCTTCAATTTCTGTCTCAATGATTGTTTTCAGTATGACAGTGTCTCACCTTTCTGAATAAAGGCCTTGTCCTTCAAGTGACTCCACAACCTTCAAAGTGCATTTATTTTATATCTGTAGCTACATTTCTGACTCATCTTGGATATTTAATTTATGTTTTATTAATTTGAAATCCAAGCATACTTACTTCTTGACTTCCCCCAAAACAAGTATCACATACACTTTCCTACTATATTTCTGTCACTATGGTTGTGCAATGGTCGACCCAGTATATGTTAGGTAAAGAACCCTTTTCCACTCCCTCGTGCATATTGGGCATATAGGGTTAGACCTGTATTTTATAAACCAATCCACGCTGGGTGGGTGATGTAGTCAGCATCACACCCGCTGCCTTCTCTTGCCAGGTCTGTACCTGGTACTCAAGGCTGGGTCGACCTGAGAGCAGGGGTCAACTCAGCCTTGTGATACTGATACTGAACATTTCTAGAATTATCTCAGGGAAAAGTCCTCAAGAAAAGAATGTGGTGATTCCACTTTATTTACCATGAATTGTTTATGATGATGATGATCATCATCATCATCATCATCTCTCTTACCACAGATCTTTCTAGTGGTCACTACTTCTTCAAGTTTCCCCTCTTTTCATAACATGATTTTAAAAAATGATGACTGTCTCTTTCTGATGTTTGTGATAAGTTGTCATCGAGCACTCGCCTCTTTTAAAACATCTAGGTTGCTGTTCTTAGTTGTCCAAGGAATTCTAAGGATTCTTCTATAAAACCACTTCTCTGCGGCCTCAAGATATTGTTTGGCCTGTTTATTTATTGTTCAGCCTTCACAGCCGTATGTTAAAACTGGCTCTATATGGCATGCAAGAATTCTTTTATTAACCTCCAATTACATGGATTTATTGCACTAAAAATTCTTCATGTTTTAAAATGTTTATGATAAATAACCTAACACCTCTACAGCAGAGGTGCCTTTGAATTTAAAAAAAAGTCTGACCATTTGAAGGATCAAGTTGCCAGGCAGCACAGGGTTTCTTCAATTTGTGTCTATTTCAGGTATCCAATGCTCTGTGGAAGATTTTTCTCCTAAGCATAAGGGAGAGTGGGGTCTTTCTAGTCATGGGCTGTGATTCTCATGCCTTACTATAGCATAGTATCATCAGGAGGGAGGGAAAGGGGACAATTCATGAACTCTTCGATTTAAAAGCCTTGAATCACGACCTTTGGTGTTAAGTTAGTTAATAATGATACATACTATTTTTTTATAATACATGTACAGTGTTTCACTGTAAAATACTCAGTAAACATTAAAAACAAATATCCACGTTGTATGAGCTTACTAAATGCTCAGACGCAGAAACTGTGTAAAATGTACTTTAATGTTTGTTCTACGTGTATAATTGCAAAAAATGTATGCTTCTGTGTAGCTGTACATTACTGAAAGTGCTCTAACATCAAGTCATAAATGTATATTATTCTTTCACTTCATTATGAAGTGTAAAAAGGCTCTTTTAATTACTTTCATGCACATGTCATGTTGTGCTATCCCTGTTTGTTTTTTAACAGACCAATCAGGACTTGATGGATGATAGGGTCAACATCATACTGGCCACCTTCACCTCCCAGGACTTTACCTGGTACCTACTTTAGTCTGAGTTGACCTGGGCACCAAAGTTACTTAAAAAAAATTATGGAACTTGGTATTGACTTGATTATGAAGAATCTCTTCTATTTCTGCTGTTAATACTTGGTCTTCTGCAGAAAACAGTTCAGTTTTTTGTTTTAGTATTCAGAAGCCATGAGTTGTTAACCCTTAGGCTCGGTATTATGGATATCGCAACCTTTCGGCCTTGATTCCATTGTAAATACCGTAAATCTGGGAGAAATGTGGCTTTCCTGCCTACCCCTGGGATTGAACCCGGACCCCACAAGGAGTTTGTCACCCGGTCTCTGCGCAATCCGGTTTAGCCAACTACGCTAGAGAGCCGGGTAAAACAGTTCTGAGATATCATCTTCTTTGCTCTCAGCTTTACATGTACAGTGGTACCTTGTAATTTGAACATAATCCATTATGACATGGTGATTGAATTCCAAATTATTCCAGTTCCAATGTAATTTTTGCTATTTAACATAGTAGAAACTACAACAATGCCCAAAGCCCAGAAGTTAGTGATCAACCAGGACTTTCCACAGGAGTTTACTGCAGGTGAAAACTAAGAAGACAAAGGAGAACATCTGCACCTGGCAGATTAAGGAAAGATGAACCTTGGCTCCCAGGCTGATCCAGCCTAAGATGGGAATTAGGGAATTGTCATGGGAAGTAAAGGTGGTCTGCATGATGCTGACCACATCACTCAAGTGCCAATTGATCTATGAAAATATGAGATTAGCATCTTGTGCCTGTGTGCACACATTTGGATTCTTACTGGAACTGCAGAGTTTGTGCACCAAGCTGACAGCTATCTAGTTTGATCTGAAGAAGATTTAAGAACCTATGGCAAAGCACTAGTAAACTGGTTAAAGTAAAAATCTTGAGATCATGCATTTTTCCTGTGACAACTTATAGTTGTGAGTCTTGGACTCTCACTCAGTCACTGAGGAAAAAGATTAAAGCTTTTGAATTAAAATGTTATAGAAAAATTCTTAGAATATCATGGATCAGGAAGAGGAAAAATATCAATATTCTGAACGAGTTGAACATCAAGGAGAACTGGATCATAAACAGCATTCTGTCCCGAAAGTTGAAGTATTTTGGCCACATCAAGCGCCATGGTGGCTTGAACTGTGATGGAAGGTGCAGTTGGTGGAAGGCGGGGCAGGGGTCGACCACCGCGAAGATGGATACAAGACATTGAAGATTCATTGGCATTGAAAGCACATGGGGCCAGAGAGCTGGCTGGGGAAAGGGGTACTTTCAGGCGTGCCTTGAAGAGAGCGACGTTCTGTAAAGGACTTGCTGATTGATGATGAGTGAAGATTTGATGTAAAGAAAAGGATTAGAGCATTAATTGATAATTTCGATGTGCAGTGAAGATGTGATGTAAAGAAAGGAATTGGAGTGCTAGTTGTCATTTCAAAATGACATAAGATGGGAAGTTAAGAATGAGATTAGAGCAATAATGGATAATTTCACTGTGCATCAGAGAAACTCTAAAACAGCACGATGTGCCTATGGTCGAGGCAGCCAGAAGAGCTAGAAACAGAACCTTATATCTCCCTCGACACCCACAGCGGTAAAAGAGGAAGTGAAGAAGAAGAAGAAGTGAAGATTTGATGTAAAGAAAAGGATTGAAGCACTAGTTATTATTTAAAAATGACATAGATATCATTTTAAGAAAGGGATTGGATCACTTGTTTTTTATCTTTAAAATGAAGTGGAGCACAGATTTTTTTCTTTTTAGAGTGACATGAGTTGTGATGTCAAGCAAGAATGAGATTGGAGCACTGATAAATAATTTCAGTGCAATGAAGATCTGATTTAAAGAGATCGGAGCACTATTGGATATTTTAAAATGACAGAAGACATTATGTCAAAAATGAGATTAGAGCACTAATGGCTAATTTCACTGTGCAATGAAGATCTGATGTAAAGAAGAAGATTGGAGCACTAGCAGTTCTTTTAAAATGATATTAGATGTGATATAGAAAAGTTGTGGATAATTTCACTGTGCAATGAGAATGTGATTTGAAGAAAGAGATTACAGCACTAATGGACAATTTGACCGTGAGTGAAGATGTGAAATAAACAAATCAGAGCACTGGTAGTTACTTCATAGTACAATGAAGATTCAAAATAAAAGATGCATTTAAAGCACAAGTAGAAGGTTTCACAGTGCAGTGGAGAGAGCCCTTGATTCACATCAACCAGTAATTGTATTTTGTTTTGAGTGTTTGATTTATGGCTTCGGATTTTATTATTAAAACAGCATTTATCTTGCCAAATAATCTATATGTATATAAATTGTTTTTTGCTCATGATCTTCAGTGTTATTACTTTGAGAAAATTGAAGCCAATACAGTTTGTTTTAATTTTATATTTAGCCATATATAAATACTATCATTGGCTACATTGTCAAAAAGAAATGATGCTTTTTTTTGTGTGCATCAAATTGTAATTCAAAGTATTCATGTTTTTCAGTTATTTCTATGAACACAAAATTTGCTATACTTTTTTTTAAGTTGATTTCTGTAAATGATTCAGTAAACCTGCATAGAAAAACGTTTATATTTTTTATACATATTCCTAATAAAATGAAAGTTACCTACCTTTAGAACCTGAGAAAAATCATGCAAAGACTATGTTTGTAA